GGGCCACTGAAACAGTGATCACAGACTAGGTGGCTTAGAACAACGGAAATCTATTCTCTCCCCGTGCTGGAGGCCAGAAGTCTGAAGTCAAGGTGTCGCAGGGCCACGCTCCCTCTGAACGGTCTAGAGGAGGATGCTCCCTTACCTCCTCCAGCTTCTGGTGGCCTCAGGTGGTCCTTGGCTTGTGGCCACATCACTCCAACCTCTGCTTCTATCTTCACGTGGCCTCCTCCCTGTGTCTGTGTCTCTCACCAGTCATTCGTTTTAGCGCCCACCCAGTTCATCTAGGATAATCTCATCTTGAGATCCTTAACTTAATTATATCTTCAAAGATTATTTTTCCAAGTAAAGTTACATTCACAGTTTCTGGGGGCTAGGACATGGGCATATGCTTTGGTGGGGAGGGGTGGCATGACTCAACCCACTACATTCACTGCCTGACATTGCATTACACATTGATTTGTTTGCAGCCTCTGGCACCCAGTAGGAGATAAGACACAAGAGCGCAGATAGAGTTTATTATGTTCAGTGGTCTACCTCCAATGCCATATAGCAAGTGCTTAAAAAGATTTGCTGAATAACTGCAAGTGGCTTTACCTCCCTAAACTAAAAATTTCATTTATAAAATTATTATATTGTTGCCTGTGTGCATAGCCATTAAAAAACAAACAGAATTGAAGGTTTATGTCAAGAGCCATAACTTCACACTAGGTCCTAAAAAATACACACACACACACACACACACACACACACACACACACACACACAATATGCCCTTTGTATACCATACTCCTTCTGAAAAGGGTGCCTTCAAATGCCAACCTTATAATTTGTGAATGAGATTTATTTCCAAATAAATTTCAGGTGCCTTGGGATTGTACTGAGACTCCCCAACAGGATGTATTGTTGGGAAATAATTTATGGAAAATGAAATGACACCACTTTCCTGTAAAGAGTGAATGGGAGTTGAAGAGTATGATCTCATTATTCAAGGTGCCCAGAGCGGATATTCAAGAAAGGCTAGATGCTTTTGGCTGAGTCCCGCCCTTGACTCCCAAAGCTGGCCAAAGCCCCAGGATCACTCTGACCTACGAACCTCAGAAAGTTTCCCAGGAAATTCCCTTGTCTGAATTGAGTCCTTGAGAGTAGACTCTAGAATTCAGCAGGTTGAAGGCAGGAACAAAAGTCTTAAAGGAAAAAAAATCTTGAAGTCAGTGTTGCTGATCACCATGGGATCCAAACAAAGTGACAGAGGTAAGAAAGGATGTTGAAAACAAATAGAAATAGGAGGATGTAATTCTTGGGGAAAGTGGAGACACACACACACACACACACACACACACACACACACACACAAAGACTCAAAAAATAAGGGTTTGGGTAGTTAGATTAAATTATTAAGAATAGGAGAAGAAGCATAAATAAGAAAAAGAAAAATGAAAATCAGAAACAAAATTCCTTTACACCTGTAAGAGGGAATCAAAAGAGATGCTATAAGTAATTGCCTCTATTTCAGAAATGCTTTCAGATGGTTCCTGACGGAATTTTCAATAGGATGTTTATTCTGAAATCGAAGTAAAAGATGACAGCAAACAGCAGAGTGCTTACCTCAAAAAGCTTGGAGAGAAGACATGAAAGAGGATGATAGAAGTCAGTCTTGTGGTAAGAACTCTAACAATGTAGATACATTTCCATATTATAAAGTAGATAATCTCAAATTAGATTCAAAACAAATTTCAATGATCTGCTGTTTATGAGAAAGGCATGGTCAATAAGTATTTTTGTCTATCATGACAGACACTGCGTGGATGCACAGTGAACAAGATGGAAGAGTTCCCTGATCTCACAGAGCTTACAGTCTGGTGGAAAATGAAACAAGACAGCTACAGATAAGATCAAGCATAGATCACACAGATTTAAGCCACACGGAAGAAACAGTGGCAATATTAACTCTACAAAGTAAAATTTAAGGAATACATTTTAATGAGATGCAGATGGCATTAAACAATCACAAGAGTTATAATGAACAGGTAAATCATATGCACTAACCAACAAAGAAGCATAAATTCAGACAGACATTGAAAAAAATGGACAAGAAAGCAGTTAAATTGGGAAATGTTAAACTCTTCCTTATCTTCCTGTATCAGATCAAGTAGTGAAAAATAAAGACGTAAACAATATAACTAAACGTACGAATAAATAGATACAGAACTAATTTACAAAAAAAAAGAGTACAGCTTATCAATACCCTTACAAAGAATATACCAACTTTTTAAAATATTTACATACATTGCATACATACCAGGCACAAAGTCTCAACAAATTAAGAAATTTAGTAGACATGAGTGCAGGCTGCAGCTTCTGGGTACAATGCAACAAAAACAAAAATTTAAATAAACGTAAGCCAAAGGGGACCCATTCAGCTGCTTTCAGTCACATACCTTATCTTTAACTGCTTTCTCTGTGGTCTACTCCATAACTTTTTTCATCCCAACAGATCCAGGTGTTTCACAATATCCACTACCCAGAGTTTTCTTCCTGAATGCCCTGGGCCTTCTCAAATCTAATTCATGAATTCCAGCCTTGACATCTCTGAGTTGGAACAGAGGCTACGGTGATCAGATTCAAGAGACTGGGTTTTCAAGGGAAAGGTATTTGACCAACACATCACCCTATAAATGGGCTGCACCACCTGGAGAAAGGATACCTGATTAACACCCTTGGGAAAGCATGAAGTTCTATGCCAACAAGGTGTGTTTCCTCCCTGGATCCGACACTGCCTTAAAAATTACAGAACCGAAAAAAAAAAAAAAAAACAGAACGCCAGTTGGAAAGAACCTGAGAAATAACCGAGCCAAATTCATATGCACTCTTTGATATGAATAGTAGACTTTTCTGAGGACCAACTAATGTCAGGTACTGCTAGGTACTCTACACTGCAAGCCTGAGCTCAGATCTGTGCAACAGGGCTGGGAGGTCAGTTCCAGCTATCTCCCCTTTGCTCCTACAGACTCACTTTCCACTCTGCGTTGGGTCTTGGGCCCAGGAGGCTGCATCCGTGGCTTCCATTCAGAGCCATTCCCACCACTAAGTTCTCAGCTCCACACTGCTGCCTCTTCCAAGTAACTACTCTTGCCTCTTGCCTTCCAGGCCTTGGATGGCAGCATTTTTTCACTGTGGCTAATCTTGAGCAATTGCACAATCCAACCCTTCGGGTTTCACTATACCCTGCTCACACCTTTGTAAATAGCCTGTTTATCAAACTTTTCCCCAAATCACTCAGTGTGAGGGTGCTATCTGTTTTCCGACTGGAATCCTGACCCAGTAGATTATATCATCCTTATTTCGTGGGTGAGTAAACAGAGGCGGAGAGAGGTGAAGAAAATTGCCTAAGGTCACACGTCTGAGAGGAACAGGACTGGGCTTCAAATCTGAACTGACTCATACCAGAGTTTTGCTTTTCCCATTATTTAGGGGCCTTTGTTGAAATTGGTAGAGCCGGGCAGCAAGATGCCTGCAGCCTCTTTTGTTTTGATAAAGGGGGAAGAGGCCAGAGACACAAAAAGGGCCACCAGAACTGTTCATCAGGTTGAATGGGGCTAAAGGGGCCACCCCTTGGGGAGCAGAAGAGGTAAGAGGCAAATATTTGCTCAAAGGGGCAGCACAGTGCTCGCTACAGCAGCACATATACTACTGTAAAATTGGGATGGTACAGAGATTAGTATGGCCCCTGTGCAAGGATGACAGGAAAACTCATGAAGCGTTCCACATTTTGTGCAGTGCCACAGCCTCCTCACGCCCTTTGCCAATGAGCTCAGAAGAAACGAGTCAATGCACAGAGTGTTGTACTCAATAGCAAAATGATGACTTTTCACTGTGAAAAAAAGGGCGCAGCACAATTTAATGGGTAAATACACACACTATGTCCTTAATCGATCCCCCCCCACACACACACACCCTATAGATGAGGAAACTGAGACACAGAGGAGTGGCACAGCCTTCCCCAAAGCCACCTCCCTCCTAGTGGTGGGTCTTGTTACCGACTGCAGTCCCATGAGAAGCCGGAGCCCTTACACTTTTCGATACATCCTCTCGGAGGCTGGGCACCGTCTCCACTGCACATTCACTCATATACTTTGGGAGGCATTTGAGCCCAGCGACTTCCCTGTGGTGATGAAGATGCCAACATAAGCTGTGCCAAGCCCTGCCTTGAGCCCTTCCTATGCAACACCGTCCATTAAATCCTCTCCATTTCACTGTGAAGGAGGCGCTATCGTGGTGGCCATTTTACAGACCAGTAAACTAAGGCTCTGAACATTTAAGAAACCTGCCCGAGGTCCCACGATGGGCAAGTCCAGAAGCCCATTCTGCAGATGAGAAGGAAGGGCTCGGAAATCACCCAAAACCACACAGCCCAAAGGCTGCGGGGTGCTCCCGGTACTGGGTTTCACTACCAGGGACCTCCCTGGAGGTAAGGTCTTAGCTCTCTCTTTCCATTACAGACTAGGGAACCGCTAGCTCAGAGGGGCCGTGTAGCTTATCCAGGGCCACACAGCAGCGGAAGGGAGTGTGACTCGGCTCACGTGCGCTGAGCTCCCAGAGCTTTGTGTTTGACCACTGGGTTCCGCAAGAGAATCACCTGGCCTCTTGTTAAAGTCCAGCTTCCTAGCCGGCTCCAGACCCAAGGACTCAGGGCAGGGACGGGGTCTGGGGATCGGCATTTTAAACAAGTGTTGGCTTCCCACCTCCTCCCTATTCCCCGTTCCAGGTGACTCTCATGATCCGGCAAGTTTAGGAAACAGCCCGAGTCCTGAAGGGCAGTAGCACCGCCCGGGCCTCCCTAGGCCGCTGCTCTCTCGAGAGTCCCACGCGAGCTCGCGGGGTGGGGAGGGGCCAGGTACAACAAGTGCTGCCGGGTGCGCAGCCCCGCCCCGGGGGCGGGGCCTCACCTGTGGCGGGCAGGTAGGCGGCTCCCTGGTAACCTGGACCTGACCCAGGAGGCTGGGGCGCGCGCAACCAGCCCTGGCCTCGCCGGGGACCGAGACACGCAGGCAAGGGCGGCCGCCGGCGTGACTGCAGGTTGGGCAAGGAGTTTCTGTCGCTCACCATGGTCGAGACACGCTTCTCCAAGTTCCTGCAGAAACTAGGCTTCTCCCGCGCGGGCCATCAATACGAGGCGCTGGAGCGGGGCGAGTTGGAAACCTTGGTGAGCCTGGGCGACCGGCGCGGGGCATGCGACCTGAACCCCCCACCCTACTGCCATCCACCCCACCCCAAGACCCCGTTCGCGCGCCGGCCACTTAACCCTTCTTAATTCACCAGCCCATTTTTGCGGATGAGAAACTGAGGCCAAGATGGGTTAAATATGCCCCTCAAGGGGCACACAGCTAGCAAATGACCTCGCTAGGAACTTAACCAAGGTTTCTCCGAGTCCGGAGACATTCCCGGGTCTCACATCCAGGCTGCTACATGAATTTTTAAAAGCTGCTTGAATTGGGGAGAAAAGGAGGAGGTGTGTGTGTGTGGTGGGGGGGGGGGGAACGATGTGAAAAACAGCAGCAACAGAAAACTGTTGCGCACATGTTTTAGCAATAATACCAATAATTGTGGAACTCAAGGTAGGAGACTCCCACACATCTCCAGCGCCCTTTTTTGAAAACTGCTCAGATTTGTATGTTGGCTTTGCAAGCTCCATGGGACCCTCCAGGACAAACCAACAGGATTCTCGGGCAGGGGAGTTTTTCCCAGTGGACAAGCTGTGACACAGCTGTCCCCGAAAAGCCTTTCCACTTGGAGAAGCCAGAGGTGAAGGTGGTGACCAGTCACCCAACAACTTTCTCTTTAGTTTGTAAACAGAACTCTTCGTGGTGCCAGAGCAGAGGGCGCTGAATTTATGCAAAAGCATCTCTGGTTCATGGCCCTTTCTTTCTTTGAAAAAGCTTAATCAGTCATTCAAAAATAAAATTCCTGAAAGAGTCCCCTGAAATAGGTGCTCCTGAGAATACAACCCTGCCTTTTGACTGCTATATGGAAACCTCAAAGTTAAATTTATTTTTTAATGAGAAAGATCAGCTGGAAAAACTTGATTTAAAATATTTAATTTTCCTCCCAAAGAACGGCAGTAGTCAAAACATTTTGGTTGTACAATTCATAAATATTTGTGCATTTAAAAATAGTATTTTATAAATGGATGTTAATATGTGAATTCTGGCACTGGGGTGGTAGACCACAGGACTGGGTAACTAGCAGTTCTCAAGTAATCTTCATTTTTTCTGAAGTGACATGTGCATGGATTGTATATAGAGTTTGATTATTTTGCCAAAATCCATTTCTCTACTTAAATACCGTGCACTGTGCTCTGTTAAAGGAGTTTGAAGTTAGTTTGCCAACATGGTTGCCTCTTTTACATTAATTCTTTTTTTCTTTCCATCTTTTCATTTTTGCCTTAAGCTGAGCATTTTTTCAGACATTCCTGATGTGTAGTCAGTTCCAATCAGATTTTATGGGATGTCCAGGTGAGCCATGTGTGTCAGGTATAGGGATGAAATAACATGAATAGAAATGCTGGGGTGAATTTGATCTCTGCACCAAGTGGACATCATGCCCCAAATGCTTTTCAGAGGAGCCCTCAAGGGTGAGACAGGTCTTCAACCTGTCTGTAGGTATTGGGGTGGGGGAGGGGCTCGCCCATCTGGCTGTGGACCCCGTGTTCTCAGATGCACCCTGAAGGGGCGTGTGACAGCTTGGCAGTGTGGAGTGATGGGGACACTGGTGACCCAGGCAGCCAGCAGCAAAGACTGGCTGAGACACAAAGTGTCCTGTCTGTAAAGGTGGCCTTGTGCAATCCCAGAAAATTACACTAAGGGTAGGTGAGGAGTGTGATGAGGGAGGGAGGTTGGGTGAGGCAACCTGTTTCCTGCCAGCTCAGCTCACCGCCCAAACACCTCCTTTGCTCTCACACTTAACATCCTCCGGTTGGAACGCTCTTCCTCTCAAGAAATTTTGAAGAAGAAACCAAGTTTGCTACAGTGATCATTTCCACAATAGTCCTAACTCTTTTAAGAGCACTTGTTGTATATGGCATCCTGGGCAGTCACTGAAACCCCCAACCACTTTGCCAAGTCACCCCGGTTATAATAGCAGTTATTATTGAGAACTTATTGTGTCTCTGCCTGGGTCTCTTCACTCCGAGGGAAGTTTTATGTTAATCATGTGAGAGATGAGGACATCGGGACTCACAGGTGGGGCCAGGCGGGAAGGATACAGCTCTGTACAAAACAAAGCTTATGGGGGAGGCTGACAGCCAACAGATAAACCAAGAGATGTGTAAGATCCCACAGCCTCAGGTACGGTGGAGAACAAAGAGCAGAGTGACTGGGCGGGGGACAGGTGGTTGGGATGGGGACCAGGGTGGACCCAGAGTTAGGAGTGTCAGACTCTGAACCTAACTAAGCACAGTTCTCCTAGCTCTGATGCTGCCTCAATCTGGCTGTATTTCCAGTGTAATGAAAAGAAAGGTGTTCGAGAAGCCCCCTTAATTACTGGAAAAGGGCTTCTCTTTGCTGACCTGAATGTTGGGTAAGGATAGTGCTGGACCAGAAATTCCTGCTTCCAGGATGACTCTGGGGAAGTTATCTTGGGCCCTCAAGGGCTCCCATCTCTTAACCGAGACTGCCGTGGCTCCACCCTGCACTACCTACCCAGTTGGTGAACTGATTCATCTTCCTGGGGCTCTGCAGGGAGAAGACTGGGTTCCAACAGACTTGTGTAATAGAAGGGGGAGGGACCTGCTTGCAAGCTTGCAGCCACGGTTGTTTGCAGCTCTCTGACCCTGGCTCTATGGACGTCTCCATAGGGCTGCCTCTTGGCTCAGCAGCTGGCTTCCCCAAGGAAGACTTATCTAAGAGAGATTGAGGGAGCCCCATCAAAACCTGGAAGCCGCAGTCTTTTTATAACTCAATCTTGGAAGGGACAGCTCATCACTTCTGCCATATTCTATTGATTAGAAGTGTAGTTCTCAAGGGGAGGGGATTACAAGGGTGTAAATATGGGGAGGCAGGGATAATTGGAAGCTGTCTCAGAGGCTGCCAGTGGTAGGAAGAAACTTTTTCTTTTTTTTTCTTTGGTGCTTTTGGCCAGTGGTAGCCTTTTTCTTAAAGATTTTATTGGGGAATTGCGGGAGGGGAACAGCATTGAGGGATCGGGAAAGGGGAACAGACAAGTTCTTCAGTCTAGTTGTGGAGGATGTAGCTTCACTGGCCCATGTTGGTATTATCATTGTGCTCTTCCTGGATGAGGCAGATTGGCCGTCGGCCTCCGGATGGCCACTCACGGTGGCTCTTGGCAGCTCACGCCAGCTGCCAGCCGCTCACGCTGGCTGCCCGCCACTCACGGTAGCTTATGGCAGCCCACTGCAGCAGGGGCTGCAGCCTATGCCGTCGCCGGCGACTCACGGCAGCCCAGCTCCAGGTCGAGCTGTTGTTCACCATCTTAGCTGTAGAGGGCGCAGTGTCACTGGCCCTCATGT